GTGTAAATTGATCTACCCATGCAACACCAACAAATACGGTCTTTCACAGCAACATTTGCGAGGTTGGAGACGTTTTGCAGAACTTTGGTAAAAGTCCCATTCTAATTACAAATTGTAGCTCAGTTTTTGTCAAAATATCTAAATTTAGAGTGTGTTGTGAATTTCAAATGAAATTGATTTTGTATGCTTGTGAAAGATCACACTCTTGGAATAGATCAGGTGTACTTTTTTATTGTGTATGTGAGTTTTTAGGGGTAAACATTTGATTGGTAGGCTAAACAAAATCCACCAGCTTCTGCTGTTTTAGCATTGCTGGCAGACAAAGTTAACATTGTAGCTCACATCACTAATCAATTAAACATGGCTGCTACTCTGTGATTTGTGAATGTTTTCTTGATAGTAACATACAGTGCCTTGCAAAAGTGTTCAGCCCCCTTAAAAGTCATCAGATTTGTCTGGACTACAAATGACATTTTGATATTTTCTGCAGTTATATTTTATTTTAAAAGTGTGACCCTCCAAAATATTTAATTTAAATGTTTGTTTTATGTAAGAAAACATTGTGTGAAAAAAAACTGAAAATGCTGTTTGTGTAAGTATTCAACCCCTGTGCTGTGGAAGCTCTTAGTTTACACACATGAAAGGTATTGCCCTAATAAGGACACAGTTGGCTTACAGTTGGCCTCTAACTGTGAATCTGAAGGAAAATGAAGACCGAAGAGCATTCTTCTAAGTAAATTAAAGATAAAATTATAGACACAGGATAGGAAAAGTCTATAAAATAATATCCAAGTGTTCAATATCTCACTAAGCATTGTTGGATTAATTGTGAGGAAATGGAAGTTCCTTCATACCACACAGGCACTACCCAGACAAGGTAGTCCCCCAAGACTTTTGAGGGAAGCCACAGAGAGGTCAATCACTCTGAAAGAGCTACAGAGTTCAGTGGCTGAGACTGCAGTGAAGGTGCACCAGTCAACAATATCAAAAGCTGGGCATACAACTGGCCTGTATTGGGGAGTGACTAGAAACAAGCCATTATTGAAGAAAAAACACATCAGAGCACGTCTGGAGTTTGACAGAAGTCATTAGCATGACCCAGCTAAAATGCAGGATAAGGCTTTGTGGTCAGCTGAAACAAAACTTTATGGCCACAATTCAAAACTGTATGTGTGGCACACACTTAACACTGTACAATTGTGAAGTCAAAGTCCAGATCTGAATCCAGCTGAGAACCTGTGGCACTGTTTGAACATTGTGGTCATGCAACCAACCTGAACAACCTGGAGAAAATCTTCCACGGGAGAACATCACTCCCAAACAGTGTGCAACGCTGGTAGAAACTCACCCCAACAGACTAAGTTGTTATTAAAGCAAAAGGTGGTTTTTCCAAGTGCTGGTTTAAAGGAGTTGAATACTTATGCAAGAAGCATTTAAAAAAATAAGATCTGCTGACAAATAATGAATTTTGACTTTGAAAATGTGCTTTAAGAGCATATTGGTTTACAATAAAAATACTAGCAGGAGCAATCTCTGTGTCATTTGTAATCCAGACAAATCTGATGACTTTTAAGGGATTGAATACTTTTGCAAGGCACTGTATATGCCAAAAATACAATGAAAGCAGAAAGTGTGACAGTGTGCTGCTTCGAGCTGTAAGTGAAGCTACTCACAGTGACGAACACAGATAAATTTACACTCATACAAAATAATTATCAAGTAACACTTTTTTGATTAAAACTGAGTTGTGTGGTACTATTTCCTATTAGGTTAAATCAGTTCACACCAACAGCGTTATCTCTGTCCACATGAGAGCGCAAACACAACTCGAAAATGCTCACATGAGCATGGTAACCCACTAGGGGCCGATAATACCTTATAAAAAAATGATGTCAAATTAAGAGCCTCATTCACCAATATCTTCCTATGTTTTTTTCTTAAATTTGTTCTTGAGAAAAGTCCTAAGAAAAAGTTTATGTCAGGTTAATGACGTTTTTAAACCGCATCTTGTTGAAAAGTACAGCTGAACTGAAGCTAAATTCAGTTATAAATAGTTATCAATCTCCGGATTATCCCAATTTGTAGAACACACCAAAACAATCCAGTTGTCAGCTGTATTTCAGACAGAATTCTGCACAATCTATAAATGAAAACAGCAAAAATCAAAAAATGTAGTGTTCCTACAGTTTTTTCCAGATTAATGGGGTTTGTGAAGGCTTAACCAGTCCCCAATAGACTGTGTTTAACCGAGAAAGGAGTTTAACCTGAAGAGGAGTTGGCTAGGTTCTCAGTACTAAAGCTATCAGTCAGTTTGTGCTATGCACAATAAATGATAGGAAATAACGTTTAATTGTCTTTGAAACACAAATTCATGTTTTTGGCTACATTTTCCTTAATAATTGCAGAGTATCAATCAGAGTATTAGATTAGTTTTGTAGAAGTGTTGTGGGACAAAATTGTGTTATTCTGACACATCCTAACACGTTTGGTGCAGTGCGTGGGCGATGCAGTGAGTGGGCTCAAGGTGAATTTGCATGCAGTAATGTAGCAAACTGGCAGCAGCGAGGTTTATTTTTTCAGAATTGAGTCTGTTACACCTGAATGTTTTCTCATCTGAGCACAATTGTTCCACTTACCTTTGGGCTTAACTTATTAAGGGGCTGCAGGGGGCTTATTCTACAATGCAAACCTCAAATGAAGTAAGCAAAAAAGTATAGAAAATGAAATAGTGGATGTGGTGAAATATGAAAATTGATTTAGTTAGACCACTATGTATCGCACATGTGCGGAGCCAAATAAAGTCGTAGGCCCAGTAGCCTGCCTTGTGGTACTGACTGACTGTGCGTCTGTATGTGTGTGTGTTCAGAATCTAAAATCCAATTCAGGGTGTTTGTGAGTCAGTGGACCTTGGGGCGTGTTACAGAATGCAACTAGTGTGTCCAAATCAAGTATTATAGGAAGGCCTTCTTATAAATTACATGCAACACATGGATCAATAACCTTATCCCTTTAGACTTCAGACTAGTGTAGACACACAAACTCTCTCTCTCTCTCTCTCTCTCTCCCCCTACTCCTGTCTCTCCCCCCAACTCCTCTCTCTCTCTCTCTCTCTCTCTCTCCTATCTCTCTTCCTCTCTTTTCCCTGTCTACTTTCTTTCTTGGTCTCTCTCTCTCTCATTCTGTGTGTGTGACTGAGTGAGTGTGTGTGTGTGTGTGTGTGCATATGTGCATTACACATAATAATATATCAACATATATCTCAAGACAAGATTGTGTGTGTGTGTGTGCGTGTGTTATTCCCACTGCCTGTAGCAACAGGTTAAGCAGTGAACAGTAACCCAACCACTTATATGTGTGTCTGTTTGTGCGTGTGTGAGAGAGAGAGAGAGAGAGAGAGAGAGAGAGAGAGAGAGAGAGACAGAGAGAGAGAGAATTGTCCAGTGTCCAATGAGATTTGAGGGTCTAAGGTCATTGCCCATCTCATCTATTTGAGCCAAGCCCAGTGGACAGGAAGAAACGGAGATGGCATTACTGAGAAGGAAAGAGAGCGAGAATTGGAAGGCAGAGTGAAAAAGAGCAAGAGAAGGATATTCTCATTTGATCAACATTACAACTGTAGCCATTATTCATCTCTGGAGCTGAACTGAAACAGTCCTACCATGGAGAGGATGCTGTGCAGAGGTTTTATGAACTGATTAGAAATTAGTACAAGATGATGTTGTGTGTGTGTATGTGTGTGTTTGGTAGGTAGAAAGGTAGTGGATCAGTTGTTTATTTATTATTCAGACACAGTAATACAGAAGTTAAAGGAAATAAATCACTAATAAATGCACAAATATTCCCTAAAATTGAAAAGCTGATTCTAAACAACACTGACATCTCATCGTCAGTGGCCATGTGAACTGTTAACAGAGCAGAGTGAAACTCATACAGTTCACTGTCTAATGTGTATCACAGATCATTTTACATTTATAGTAGGCCTGGGACAAACAGCGACTACTATAATCAATTCATATATCAGTTATTATTCTATTGATCAGCTACCTAAACCATTATGCCTTCTGTCATTTCCTCTCAATTTAATATTGTCACAGTGCCATCATTCAAATTTTGTTTGTAGGTCTATGTCTGACTATCACTAAATCTAAATATATTTCAACAGTTCACACTGTAAAATTTTTCAATGATAAAAAAATTCTGTATTTTACGGGATGCTATTGTGAAACAACATGTCTGTTTTCTGCTGACATCTTTTCTTTGAGTTTTAAAGAGAGATAAAAGAAGCACATATGTAAATTTTTTTGTGAATGCTGCAAAAATGAAACGGTGGGCCTGCATTTTCACCATTTTGGTTTATAATGCACGGTGAAAAGACAAGGCATGTTTATTTATATGGCACCTTTCATACACTGCTGTCATTCAAAGTGCTTTACAAATGAGAGAATACAGTCATTTAAAAAGTGAAGGAGAACAGAAATTTAACAAATGATTAAAACAGTAGATTTTAAAAGATAAAAATCTTAAATTAAGAATAAAACTAAAAATTAAATAAGGATAATAAAGTGCCACTACAGAGGAGAAGGGCTAGAGAAGCTAACAGTGTTTTAAACTGAGCTGAAAGCCTGCTCAAATAGGAGCATTTTAAGCCTGGATTTAAAAGTGTCTAGTGGTGAACCGTGACTATTAGAGCTAGGCCTGCCATTGGGGCCATAATTGTCAAAACTTGGTCAAAAACACTTCTACGAAAATGCTTAGTTTCTGCTAAATGTTCCAAGAATTTAAGAATTAAATGTTAAGAATGTACCTCTTTTTTTGAAGCCTTTTTAGTACAATACTTATAGAGTTTGAATACAACAAGCATGATGATGCTATTAAACAAAAACAACCTAAAAATGTGTTTTTTCAGTTAACAAAAAGGCCTCCTCTGATGGATCTATAATGAACTAAAGGGTTCCCCATTGATTAAAACCTTTAAACCTGTGCATGTGTTTATGTCTTAGGTGAGGGCGAGTGCCATTGCTCAGGATGCAGACCAGAATTATGACTACGCCTCCAACAGCGTGATCCTGCACTTAGACGTGGGGGACGAGGTGTGTGTGCAGCTGGACGGAGGAAAGGTGCATGGAGGAAACACCAACAAATACAGCACCTTCAGTGGATTTCTCATCTACCCTGACTAACACACAAACACACGTCTCTCCTGTATGAATTATGAAACACAGATGCAACTGCAAGCTAAAAAGTCAAGAACATATTTACCTGATTTCAGAATGCTGTCACTAATATGATATGTGTTCTGATAATTATCAGTCTTACCTTATAGTTCCTGCCAAGATCCAAACCACAGACACACACACACACACAAATACACAAACTGCCCTAAAGGAATTTGTGTGGATCACATTGTTAATGAGGCTGTAGAGTGATAGTATTGACAGAGTGTCGCTAATTCCACTTACATAAACCGCCTCAGTCCACACACACAAACACACACAAACACACACACACACAGGTCTCCACAGTTCAGTGCACACATCGACAGGCTGGGTTTCAGCAGTGTTTAAAGGAATACTCTAGTGTTTTTCAGCCTAATTTCCATCTGCTGTGTATGTAGTGTATGGTCAATTACCACAGACAATAATGTTCCTCTACTTAGTTAAAGAACTGAAAACACTTATCTTGGGCATTAAGCTTCAGCACATGCCTATTGGCTTCTCTAATAAGCATGTTTCGAGTGAGTTTTCTGTTTATGTGTATAGGTCTAAAGACAGGGCAAGTATTGTCTGTGGTAATGAACCATATACTATGTGATATCGTACTGAAAACATCTGGGAACAACCCAAAATTTTGGGCTAAATGTGGGTGGGAACATAGACTTACTTGGGTAAAAAAAGCGTAAAGTTTCTAAACCAGTCCAACTCCTTGTGAGGGCAGAGCTCAAAGTACAGGGTACCCCCCCCTCAAAACTCCAAATAAGCATGTAGGTGTGTGTTGTGTTGGCAGAGAACACATTTTACACATTAAAAATAAACATTATCTATTGCAAGGGAAAAACTATTCTGTTAGCTAATGATAGCGTTTCGCTAGTTAGCTTGTTTTGCTTGTGTGATCGAATTGTGCTCCAAACGTTAAAAGAGTACAGAATATAGGACTTGGATTTTGGATTTTTAGGGGGGGGTACCTTTGTTTCCTGCAGATTTCCTCACAGTCCAGCACCAAAAGTTTAACAAGTTGTCCCCAGATGTGATTTTCGAGATGCGTCTGGTCCCACAAGACTACAGACAGGACAGAATTAGACAGGTTGAAAAACACTGGAGTATTCCTTTAAAGCTATTGAGTTAGCTATCCAATTCTTTTTTTTTGCTGATGTTCCTTACTCTTTGATAGGACCTTCTTCTCTCTTCTCTCTAAAGGCTCATCAAACATAGTAACACTGAGAAACCTCTCATCAAATTGTGAATATAAGATTCTGACTGCTGATGTCCTGCTTATATAAAAACAAAAGACAAAGATTTCCAGTTCATTATTCATTGAATGTTGAGCATGAGCTACTGTGTTTTATTCCAGTTTCTTTCTTTCAGAGTCAAACAATGGTCTCTGTGTCGTAAGCAAAATGTTTGGAAAGCATACCAGGTGTGCTTTTTCTGGATCAGTTATGATTTTCACCTCACTGGACACTGATTAAGCCTGACCACGGACTAAATTACACTGTTAACAGCATGCCCTGTTAGTCTACTTCTAGGCATAATCACAAACAAGGGAAAATCTAAGCCCAAATCTGAAGTCTGAGCGATACTTCTGTACTGTAAGAGATATTCTTCATAACTGTACCTATTTTATAGCATGAGAACACACTATATTCTTTCCAGCTGTCTTCTAATATGTACATTATATTTACCTTGCTTTATAAGTGATGAACTCTGGACTATAAATCCACAGCAGTTCTCTGGTGTGTTATATCACAGGGATATAGAGTACTCAGAGTACATTACATATTAATGTGTATGTGTGTGAGAGAGAGAGATTGTGTCCCTAATCAGTCTGTAATATAAATCCTCCTGTATGTGTCTGTGTTGCCTCATTGTGGGATTAATGTACTGGTATAAAGTGTGTGAATTGAGCTTTCAAAGTGTAACTAGTAATGGACTGATTGTTGTCACAATGCCTTGCAATTCCAGAACTGTGCAGTTCTTTATTGTAGATATATATTCTGCCATCTTGAAGACGATATATGAGAATAAAAATAAGTTTCAAAGCCTCTGTGTCCATTGTGAACCACCAGGTAGTTTTTTTTTTCAAACATGGTGTCCACACGCTAGATATGTCAAGAAATTAAAAGGCTTAAATGAATAAAGTACTGTTCAAAAGTCAGAGATCACCCTTCATTTATTTAATTTCAAGGCCATATATTCATTTTTCAGTTGATATTTCTGATTCTGATTAGGACATTTAGGTATAGGATAACTTACTTACCCATGGAAGAGGAACGTTAAAAAAAAAGGAATTTCTGGAGTTAAAAAAAAGATTAAAAATTATTATCAAAGGACAGAAAATGGGACTCCTAGTAACTGTGCAAGATCTGACTGACAAAACTGTCACTATCAATCAGCAGTATTTAAAGATTGAAGAAAGGAAGTAAGAAGCCGTTACTGAAAAAAGGAAATAGACAAAAGGAAAATTTGCAAATCAAACAAAGAAGCAGCTGGTGTTTTCAAAACAATGGATTGACCACCCCAGAGTCCATCAGAGAACATCACTGAATGTTTTTGGGATTACTTGGATCATGAGAAGCAGGAAATGCAACCAACTTCTAAGACTGAACTTTGGAGGTGTGGAAAACTATTCCTGCAGATTTCTGAAAAGGTGCAAGCAAGTATCTCAAAAAGAACAAGAAGCTTTTAAAACCAGCTTAATGACATTTTTATTTAGAAAAGCTTCTCTTAAATGTTATTGTGAGACACTGAGCATGGCATGGTGGTATTTTATTTAGAAAGGCCTTTTATTAAATGTTATTGCAGTTTGCTGCATTTATTATTGTTTGGCGTGTACTGTCTTTTTTGAAATGTTATGCTTTTATCATTGTAATGAATTTACTTTTGAATTTGAATTTACAGCTTACAGCTCCAGTGTAAAACTAAAAAAGGACACTTTGGACACCAGACATGTTTGTCTCATCAAACTGTGAAAATTCAATTTTTCAAACTATTCCGTCAAAGTTGCCACTAATGGTTTCACTACATCACAGATGATCTTTCATGAGCAGCAGAAACCAGTAGCTGTGAAAATCTCTGACCTCATAACAGATTCAATTTGATTAGATTCTTCAGGAAAGTTTCACATACGATTAGCTTAACAATTATTTTCAAATATTATATTGAATAGATTGACTGGAGAAATTTACACAGTAGTGGAATATAGACAATAAAACAAAACACTTTTTTTAAATTTAAATTTAAAAATCTAAAATGTGAAATATTTCTTGTGGAAAAAGATGACGGTGTACGTTTTAAAAATACTATTTTAATGAATGCTAAAAGATTACAACATTCACAATCAATGCAGTTCAGACCACTGCCTGTAGATCAGTGCATCACAATACACTGATGAATATTTACACACCTAACATACGCAGATCTCTCCCACACATAGGAGAACTGTGCTGTGTGAGATGGAGAGCTGCAGTAGAAACAGCATTCAGAAGAAAGGCTGCAATGAATGACTGAAGGCTGTTGAGTGAGGATCTGTATACAGGGTTTCAAAATGCTCACAGAATGGTGCACTACATAGAGAAGAGGGCACATTATTTAACAGAGCTACAGTTTCAGAGGTGGGCTTATTTTGGGTGTGAGTGTGTGTGTGTGTGTGTGTGTGTGTGTGTGTGTGCGTGTGTGTGTGTGTGTGTGTGTGTGTGCATGTGTGTTTGGCCCTATTAGTAATCCCCCTGCTGAAGGCCAGACAGGAGGACCCTCACATACATTCTGACAAGCTTACACACATTACAATAATCAATACAACACACACACACACACACACACACACACACACACATACACCTAAACCTACTCATAAAAATATCACACAGTGTGTAAGGATGAGAGGAAAAATCTCATCTGACCAATAGAATAAAATAAATACAAAAATCAAGTATTAATTTGAACACAATAAAAAATGAAGACAAATAGGTGATTGTTAGTTTCTGTCTGTCTGTTTCTATCTCAAACACTCACACACACACACACACACACACAAACACACTAATTAGTCACTGAACCACTGACAGTATTGATCATTATTCACTCCCCATCTCCCAGATTTACACACACACACACACACATACACGTCCACACTTATCCTTGTATCCTTGGTAATGAGGGGGAATGGTTGCAAGTATCTTTTGAGGGTAGATAACGAAAAGGTCAAAGAGCTGCTGTTGGCGAGACAGAAACAAACACACACCCGCACAAAAGAAGACAACTGTGACATAAACAAGCCTCGGAAAGCAGAAGAGGAAACTGTTGGCCAGTGTACATGCAGGCATGCCCTCATTATCAATTTACTTAAACCTAGGCAAAAGGCACAATGTACACTGTTTTCTGAGAAATGTGAAAAACATGAGTGAACACTAAAAAGAACTGCTTTCATTTTCTACTGGTGTAAATTCTGCATTTGCCTTTTTGTGACCAGTATTTAAGAAACATTATTGACTGCAGTAAGTCCCTGAATTCAGGTATTATAGCTCATTAGTATATACCAGACGTCTTCAAATGTAGACCTTGAGTCCAGTTTCTCATCTCAGATTTTGTAATTACTGGCAGGTATGAAACCAAGTGACCAATCACTACCGGTGATTACAAAATCTAAGAAGAGAAACCGGATGCAACTCTGTATGTGAAGACCCCTGGTCTATTCCGTAATGCTTTAGTTTGCTTCCAATAACATGTTGGAAATCTCATAAAGAACAACAGTCAGTTATCTGAGTTCAGTAGCAGTAGGGGAGCATGAAGCAATCAAGACAAATGTCTAAAGAATCTATTTTAAACCTCCTGTATGCCCAAAGTGAGGGCTGCAGGTCAAATGTGGAAGACGTCTGATTTGGACCACCAGAAAGTTACCCTAGCCCCACCCCCTCACGAAATGAGATGAACATAATTTGCCTTATACAATATGTAACTTTTCTTCTTTTAAAGTTGTATTTTTAAGTGTTTTAGTAACTAAATATAGCACAATGTTATAAAACATTTTTTTAATCTTGAAACCTACTTACCTTCTTTATTTTATATTGTTTTGTTTGTTTTGTTTTTTTTTGGCCATCCAAGACAAAAATTTGATCACCTCTGAACTATAGTGTCTATAACACTAGGCAATGTTTTCCTGAGCTACGTAAATCACGTTTGGTGAAATAAAAAAATCTGTGATGAATTAAAAAGACTGCCTGTTGATTCTGCATTTTTGTTCCTTCATTATTTTTTTCTGAGGACTCTTATTTGGATGGCAAGTTTGATAATCTAAATCAAAACATTCTACCAGCACTGAAATGTATAGATCGAATATTTTGACAGCCTAACTAACCTTGTTTAGGCGGTAAGTAGTAATGTTAAGCTGACAATACAATAAACTACAATAGACTTGAACCAAGGCTGATTTACAGCTTACTGTCCTACAGTGATGTGCGCATGCTCTGTAGGACCTATCGACAGGTAGGACAAATTGCTAGAACACCTCTGTTTATTGGCTTCAATTTTGACTAAACTATAAAGTTAGTGGGAATTCATTTTTCTGAAAATCACAATAAGAGCGGTGAATTAAGTCTAGAAATAAAGCTGATCTGGAAAACCGGCCTAAATGTGTTCTTAAAGAACCACTGGAGAAAGATGCACTTCACGCTTAAGGGAAAAACCTAAGGTGTTTTATTCAACCGCCGTCTTCGCTGGGCTAAAGAACACACGAGTCATTCCGCTGTCCAGCAGTGCCCCCTAATGGTCAGTGACTGTAAATAATGTTGGTCATTCCTCAAAGTTCTCCAGCAGCGATGCCCGGTGCGGGGCCATCGGGCCAAAACTGACCCGTGAAGACCTACGCCAGAAAGTTCTCTATCCTCCCTCACAAAGAGCAAACTTACTTTTATAGAATATATACCATTCAAAAAGCTCTTATTTGCCTCATTAAATTGTATGTATGTTTTAAGTGTTGTGTGGTTTCGCAAATAGTTATAAAACGCACTATTAAAAACCCACCTGGTTTATATGTGTATTGTTTTCGCCCTCGGCTCACTAGCCCACAAGACAAAAAGTTTAGGCACTCCTGCTTTAGGCGGACCACTAACTGGGCAATCACATAATCCTATAAATAATCCTAACGGACAAGACTGTTCGGTTACATTTAGGCGGGATCTTTGCACTTAAATTGTTTTACATCTTGAAGGGTAATTAGTGCCACAGTTATGAAAGTACGTGGCACGTCCTGGTGCCGGGGTTATGAAAATATGACGACACTTTGTAGTGAGTAATTATTTATTTATTTATGTTCATTTTGGGGAGGTGGGGTTGGTTTCAGAAGTCACTGCTAGCCTCGGTCCGCCATGTTGGCTCAAACATAACATAGTTTCCATGGTAGCAGGAGGCTCTAGTGTGAGCCAGAATGGCCGCAGTTTCACGCTCTCTTAAACGACTCTTCTCAGTGCTGAGGAAACAGCGGAGTAATTTGTCCACCAAGCGGCGCTCTGTGTCTACAATTTCGGCTGTAGACAAAGATGGCGGTACGGAAGAAAGACGGCGGCCCGAATGTAAAATATTTCGAAGCGTCTGATACTGTCTCACAGTTCGACAATGTCCGAGTGTGGCTGGGCAAAAACTATAAAAAGGTACCGCTCACTTATGTGCATTTAAATGGAAAAGGATACGTTAGTATTTAGCCATGGTAAAGTAGCTGGTGTGATGAGGAGAGGCAGAAAGCGGGTGTACAGGACAGAGAGAGACAGAGGAGGGAGGGAGCGATGGAGAGAGAAATCCAGCTGTTTAAATCCACTGAGGAGAATGAAACAATGGAAGACGCGGAGTGAACGCTTTGAGAAACAGACACGCGGCCTTAAACAGAGCCACAGCATTTATAGGATTCTTCGAGTGTTTCGATATTTTCATGATAGCGTATCAGCCATGTTTAATACGATTTAGTGAAGGGGCAGGACAACGTTTTTCTTTATCTGAGGCGGGTGAAGCTAGCTGGCTAACGGTACTGCGGTCTGTGCCCGCAGCCCAGTCCAGATGTTCTGCCGGGCGGCTTTGGCTCACGCTGCTGCTGCTGGCTGAGGACGTTAAAAACCCTGCATGTTTCCAGTGAATTATAGTAAGAGAACCCGCAACGTCCTGTCATTTTTGTGGCCAGGCAGTCTCTGCCCCTCCCCTCTCATTCACCGCTACCGTCAGAGGTCTGAAAGTGTAACGTTAACCTGCAAGGAGAAAAGAAAACAAGCATCGAGGTGCAGCCATGAGGGAAACACGCTATTGCTGAGTGCAGCCGCCACGTTCAGCTAATTTCGGCCATTGATGCCAGCTAATATTCAGGAAGAATGTAAATGGAAAGGTATAAACAGAGCTGAATGCACTGCCCTGCGGTGGCTTTAATCAACGGTATATATTCAGTTAATACAAAAAACAGTAAAGCGTATCTGGTGTTGCACGCTGTGCACAATTATAACACTGTAGTAACAAACACTGAGTGACCTGAATGAATAGTTGTAAGACTCATAGACTCATACAGGTAGTAACATAACAGAATAAGAGTTAGTTCAGCTTAAACGCTCACAGTCTTGTTTTTAAAGAGGCCACAAAAAGTTTTGATATTTTTTGTTTCACTTTGAGTGTGATCTTTTTTTTTATAAATAAGCTCACACAAAGTGGCAGTACCAATGTTTTGGAATCAGACTTTTCACTCAAATGCTGGAGGTGTAGAAGGTCAAAGATTATCGGTTCAAAGTGACTGGAGGTCATTAAGTTTATAAATGGAATCACGCTGTCTCGTTTTCTCATTTTCAGTGGTGTCCTGTTTACAGTACAGCTGTGAAAACATAAAAAGTACACAAGATAGCAAATGATCCAAAAATCTGAAAATGTCCAGTGTAGGACACAATGCAGGAATCAGGTGCGGCAAAGCTAGTTGGCAGCAGTGAATGTAGGTGTATTTAACAGGCTTTTGAAAGCAAAATGGTTTTATTGTTTCTGTAGAGCAAATTAAGTTTCAAGGTAAAATTCCAATACTGTTTATAGGCTTTCTTGCCTCTATTTCACTTTGTATCTTCAGTTCCAGCACATGCATAGCCTATTACTATCAATATTCCTTCTCTTTATGTGTGTAGTACATTCAAGCGGAGCCCCCCACCAACAAGTCTTTGTCCAGTCTGGTTGTTCAGCTGCTGCAATTTCAGGAGGAAGTTTTTGGCCGACATGTCAGCAACCCTCCTCTCACCAAGCTACCGGTACACACACACACACACACACACACAAACAAGAACTTACACAAATTAGCATTACAAGTATCCCAATTCTTTTTAAACGGCTTTCATGTTATCAAACCAAAGCCATAAACACTGAGATTGTCTGTCACCAGTCTACTGTAGAAAAACATGCTTTAATTCTGATCTCTTACCTGTCTTTTCAGATGAAGAGTTTTCTGGATTTCAAAGCCGGAGGAGCTCTGTGTCACATACTTGCTGCTGCCTACAAGTTTAAGAGTGACCAAGGATGGTGAGGTGTTTCTCTCTGTCTAACCATACAAATACACAGCTCTTTTCTGTCTAACTGTGAAATACACAGTTCTGTAGTGATAATCATGGAGCTAAAGACCTTTCATTACTGTTTTCATCTTAGGAGAAGGTTTGACTTCCAGAATCCTTCTAGGATGGACCGAAATGTTGAGATGTTTATGACCATAGAGAAGTCTTTGGTACAGGTAAGATTATCTGTCCATGTCTCTCTGTGTATCTCTTTGTCTTCCTTTTTTCTTTCTTTGTTCCTTCCGTTCTCTCTCTGTCGTTTAAGTAAAAAAGTGTCCTCTCTGTAGATCTCTGTCTCTTTCTGTCTCTCTTTTATGTTTTTCTGTATGTAGTATCTCTTTCTCTTCTCTATCTCACTCACTTGGTTTCTCTTTTTTTTCTTTCTAACTTTCTTTTTTCTTTGTTTCTCTTTTTCTATAAGAGTCTGTTTCTATGTGTTTCTCTCCCTCTTTCTCTCTCCCTTTCCCCTTCCTCTCTGCCTTTCTCAAATTCATGAATAAGTAATTAGGCGTGTATATTATTAAAATATGAACAAGAATTTTCCTTTTTTGTCTGTAGAATAACTGTCTGACTCGGCCTGTGATCTACCTGAGCTCAGAGATTGAGCCTAAGCTGCTAGGGAAACTGAAAGACATCATTAAACGACATCAGGTACCATCACAGCAGTATGTGTGTGTGTGTGTGTGTGTGTGTGTGTGTGTTAGAGACTGAGGGAAAGTGTTTTTGAGTTTATCCTATAAATGTGTTTCTGTTGCTGTAATTTTGTATTGTGTATGTTTTAGGGGTCAGTGACTGAAGATAAACAGTCCAGTTCTCATGTGGTAGTGCCCATTCCTGCCAGTCTGGAGGAGGGTGAGTCAGTTAGAACTGAAACACTTGAGATGGGTATTAATTAATTATTTTTAGAATCCTGAGACTTTTAATTTGATAGAGATTCCTAGGAAATAGTTTTTTCAATTTCAAGAAAGCTTTACACTTTAATCACAGTGTCTCCAAAAAGTATTTGGAAATTTGCATCATATTTAAGAATGTATTACGTTCATTGTGTTAGGAAATAAAATATGATTCCAAGTAGACAACTCCAACACTAACTTTCAGTCAGAAAAACTTTAACTGTCAGAAAATCTACAGACACTGGCAAATTTATAACATGATGGCTGTAGCTGTTCTTGCACATGTGCATGTTTTTGTATTGTGTATCACAACATTGGTTTTAAATTGTGCCGAAGTGTTTTCTGGACAATCAGAAATAAAGTTTCTTTGAATAAACCACAAAGTGAAGTTGATAACGGACTTTTATTTTGACACATGACCATCTCAGCTTTCTTTCTCTTGGTCTTAGTGCTATCTAACTTGGTTTGTCACAGTTCGCTTGTCAGTGAGAGTCTTTATGCTGCAATTGTAGCATTTGATACCCAACCCCCAGAAACACTGCAGAAGGATTGGACCTTTCAGTGATTGGTCAACTGACTGTTTAATTGTTTGTGTTTCTGCATGAATTGGTGTGTGTGCTGCAGAGGAGTGGGTCCGTCCTGTAATGAAGAGAGATAAACAGATGCTGCTACACTGGGGCTATTGGCCTGACAGGTGAGATTACTCAAAAACATACTCACTTCGATGCACATACACAGGCATAACCAGCTCATGTTTGTTGAATGATATTGTTTTGTCTTGTTGTGTAGTTATGACACATGGATCTCAGCCAGTGAAGTTGAGGCAGTAGTGGAGGATCCTCCCAGTCCAGAGAAACCCAGAAAGGTCTGAACTCCACAATGTCTGTCTCCCTCTCTCGATTATTCTCTCTCTTCCTAACTCCCTCACTCCCTTTCTCCCCGTGTTCAAATTGATCCCTTAATCACTGTTACTGGAACATGTATAGCACATTGTTTTGATTTGTTGTTTTTTTGCGTTGTCTTTAATCTTTGGTTAGATTAAAACGAACCCTGAGGTGATTGCTCAGTTTGTGAGGTTAGAACAAGTGGGAATGTTGCCACTTGAACCCCGGTGCACACAAAATAAGTGGTCCTGGGGAGGTTGGTCTCTTCCATACTAACTCTGGTGCGAGAACAGTACAGACCAAAGACGTCTGTTCACTGAATGAACAGCTGTCCTCTCTCTGCATGTCTTCTTTGGTACCAGACGAATTTGTGATGTTGTTTCGACACATGTATTCCACTTCTCATCTCTTTATGAGCTCTGAATTTGTAATCTGTTGTTTTGATTATAAAATGCAGCTTCCATGTTCAAAGCTGTTGTAAAATACTTAATATGTATACATGATATACACGTAAATTATGTATTAATGTGCTGAGATTTTGACGTTTTATAAAAACAGTGAGCCATGCGAGGCCACAGTGATTTTACCCTGCTTCACAACAGGGGTGACTGTGGTGATGTGCGGTAGCTTATTATCACAATACAGACAAAACAAGACATACGTAAAGTTAGAATAGAGTAGAACAGTGTAATTCCAAAGATTTGATGAATAATAAAACAGTGTACATTTTATTATTACCAAATGCATGTCACAAATAAAAAAAATGCCCAAATTATTGTATCTGTTTGTTAACTAACAAAAGTAATCTAGAACTAAAATGCAACAGTGCTTTGGGAACCAAACTATGGATAGTCATATGCAAAAATTTGAACACCTCCAGTTAAATGTTTTGTTCATTGTTTTATTGAGTGAAAATAAGTTCACAGATCTTCTACAGGGAACAAACTTAAATGACATTAAATTGCATTTTTCTGCAAATTTTAGCACACAATTATATTTATATTTATAAATATAATTTATATATTTATTTGCTGAGTTTTAAAAAATATACACATATAATGATGTACCGTTGCTTTTTTTCCATTGTTTTAAATTTGGTAAATGAACAGTAATGGTGTATTAAAACATGCAGAAGTGTGTTCTCTGTAAAAAAAAAAAGAAGTGTTAACTTATTTTCACCCAGAAAATCAACAAAGCATGACCAGGAATGCCCAAACGTCTGCATATGACCACATAAAATTACTCTTATTTGGAACTGAATTCATGACTCAGGTAAAGTTTCAGTTTTGTGGCAGAGTAGGTGTTAGTGTACGTAGTAGTGTACACAGAATGTTGTATCAACCACTTATGTTTCATCACTTACATCTGTGTGTTCATGTGGGTGTAGGTTCACGCTAAGTGGATTCTGGATTTAGACCAGTATAATGAGTGGATGAATGAGGAGGACTATGAGGTTGGTGAAGGAGGCACAAGGAGGAAGAGGATTTCAGCCAAGACTCTGACGGATGAAGTGAGCGCTCCGGACGAGAGGAGAGATAAAAAACCCGGCAATGCCAAGAAAAGAAAGCGCTCTCCTTCTCCATCTCCCACTCCTCCCCCACAGGAGAGCAAGAAGAAGAACACCAAGAAAGGGTATGAGAGAGATCTGAAAGACTTTACTACACAAACTCTGTCAGATACCACACATAGGTGATGCATAACTGGCTGGAGTATTCACTTGTATTGTGTGTGTGTGCGCATATGTGCACATTTGTTTTTGAAGGCCCACAACCCCCTACACCAAGTCGAAGCGTGGCCAGAGGGAGGAGGAGCAGGAGGACCTAACTAAAGACGTGGATGAGCCCTCACCTGTTCCTGCAGCAGAGGAGGGCTCACTGAATAAAACAGGTAACACCTGCACAGCAACATCAAGTAAAACACAACACATTCTCTCTCTAGGGCTGCACAATAAATTGTTTGTTTATCATTATCAAGATGTTGACTTTTGCAATAGTGATATCACAGAAGGCTGCAATATGCAAATGAACCCAAGCCTGATACTCACAGTCAGTTTTTTGCTGTGCTTCGTGAACGTCTTTACCAACTACACTTCCAGATGATTGGTTTCATGGATATATTGATTAATAAGTGTACTCAATGCAATGGGATGCACATATTATGATTTTTTATGACTGATTCTGATTCTATTTTATTTTTTAAAGCTAAATTGGCCAGTTTTAATTAGCCTTTTTTTAACCCAAGGTTCACACTGTGTGGGATAAATGAAACGCTGACACACATTAGCACATTTCCATTATTTTCTATTCGCCAAAGTAACAGTATAAATAACTCTCATAATTTGCTCATTATGTGCTCCTTAATAATTGTATTAATTGAATTAAATTTGTTTATTGAATGAAAAACCAGTTGACTATTCAAATAAAATGAATGAAATAACACACTACATGAACTATATGAGGTGACTGGATATTAAGGATAATGAGTCCATAATGATGCTACAGCATTATAGTATAGGTGTAACAGCAGCATTCAAATGCAGTGAGAGTGCACATACTTGACTCACGTATTCATGTCATAATATTGCAACACAGATGAGCCAAAATAAAAATTATATTAAATTATATTAATTGATGGATTAATTGACTGATTGCATGTTTGGAACAAAAATCTACAGATTTCTATCACGCACTTTTTGATCAAAATAATGCAGGCAAGGCTTTAACCATGTTGTATTAATGATTCACCGGTGTGTTTTAGTACACTGCAAGTGTTGCAATGTGTGTAGAAATACAGTCAATTATTATTAATAGTATATTATTTTATTATTATTTTATTGTTAGTTTATTATCAATATTTGTCCATATTGTGCAGCCCTAACACACACCTAATAAATTGATTGAAGTGACTTGTCTTCTACACATACATGTTAAGCTATATATCATGTTTTCAGCAAGCTTTGTTTGTGCATGTGTGTGTGTATAGTGACCAAGAAGGACTCAGACTCAACTCCAGTGAAGGGTGGGACTGACCTGGGTCAGTAGATTTAGTAGTGTATCTATCACTCTGTTTGCCAGCTGTATCTTATAACTGTGATATTTGATTTATTATTCTTCTATAGCACTAACTGTTGCTCTTTCTCTGCAGATGAGCAAGAGGATGAGTCTATGGAGACAGTGGGAAAGGTATAACCAGTGTTTTGGCGCAATACAATCAGTTAGTTGAGAATGAGAATACAGTACAATACAAAAGAATGTGTTTATAGCGTTGGCCCTGCCTTTGACTGGAAGTGACTGATCCCAAAACCTGTATAGGTGTGTCTTAAAAAAAATCATATTGTCATAGCAAGCACTGAATTATAGTTTGAACTAAAATTATAGTCAACTAAAAGTTAGTTTGCCATTAACCAGCACAACATGTTTATTGATATATAGTTTTACCAAAGATGATAGCAGTAATGTACTGTTACTCTAACATATCAATTGGGAGAGGTTATCACACTTTATGTTGATAACAGTCCCTGGCATTGATCTGTATTAATTATGAATTTTATTTTCTCCTAATCCGAATATGAGAATAAGGCATATAAACCTGCAAGATAATCACCAGGAGAAAAACAAATTAAGAATTGTCTAGTTCTGGGGTATTCAACTCTTTTCTTAGAAACTGTAGTTTCCAATGGACAGGCATGTGGTTTTGCTTGACTCAGAATGGTAGTCTGGAGACACTAAAAACCTTCCACTAGAGAAAGAAGATCTCTCTAAATTATATTGTGTATAATCAGTATGTTTTCTCTTATGTGTGCATCATTTGTGTGTGCATGTTTGTTTGTGTGTAGGAGGAAGAGGAGGGATCTCCTAGTGTGAAGGGAGAGCCAGTGAAAGGTTCTGATCTGCATGAGGATAATGTCACAGAGCAGACTCATCACATCATTATTCCCAGCTATGCTGCTTGGTTTGATTACAACAGGTAATCCATCGACCATCATCTCTTAGCATGCCATCTCATATCAGCTTTATAGCAAAAAGCCTATATTTTTTGAAAATCTTTTAATTCTTATGCTTCACTATATCTGTTTGCCTGTTTCTCTCTCTCAGTGTTCATGCTATTGAGCGCAGAGCTCTACCTGAGTTCTTCAATGGAAAGAACAAGTCAAAGACCCCTGAAATGTGAGTACACATATATAGCGAGTACATTATGGGTTGCATAAACTAGTTGACTATTCGACTAATAGTCAGCACTGTGGGCAGCAGTCGACTACTTGAGGGCAGTGCCTGAAATACCTGTGGTTTCAAACGCAATTCAGGAATAACTTTTTGAAAGGGGATGTTGTGAATGTTTCCTGGTGAGTATATGCAACTGCTTGGTACTAGCATTTAGCTTGATAAACATTAATTTCCATTAGACAGTGCTCAGACGAGAGCCAGTTTAAATTTTCTGTGAGAGGTGAATTTCTAAGAGCTGTGGTTATTTTAGTGTGCAGTATACATCAGACAGTCTTAAAATACAGTCTCTCAAATAATAATACAGAAATTGTGAATTATGATTGTCTCACACGTGTAATCGCACTGTTCTTACTCCCTTCTTCTCTCCCTGTGTGTTGCAGTTACTTGGCCTACCGTAACTTCATGATTGACACATACCGACTGAATCCTCAGGAGTATTTGACCTCTACAGCTTGCCGTAGAAACTTGGCTGGAGATGTGTGTGCCATTATGAGGTCAGGAGGGGAAAACTACAACAATAAACTAAATATGATTTAATGTAGTCATTTTTTTGAGTTGGTTAATTGTTAATACAAAACACTCCATCTGTGAATTGCATTAGAACAGGAGCACTTCCAAGGAAGACAGTTAAAGCTGTAGAATTAGATTAATGTTTAACTTTGAGTGTGTATTTGTGAATGTTCACAGGGTTCATGCCTTTCTGGAGCAGTGGGGTTTGATTAATTATCAGGTGGATTCAGAGAGCCGCCCCACTCCTATGGGACCACCACCCACATCCCACTTCCATGTGCTAGCAGACACACCGTCCAGCCTGGTACCACTTCAGCCTAAAGCTTCTCAGGTACTCAAACATTTGCAACAACTTACCCATTGCACATGTTGCAAATGAACCATTGCCATTTACATTTCCTACCCTCTCTCTCTGCACCACAGACTCCGTCCTCTCAGCAGATGCTGTCTTTCCCAGACAAAGTCAAGGACAAGCCAACAGATCTGCAGAACTTTGGGCTGCGGACAGACATGTACAACAAAAAGAGCGGCCCAGCAAAGGTATGGTGGTGGCAATTGTGGCTGGCATGCAGTAGCCATTTGAAATTCAGAATGCTTATACAGAATATGAGACGACAGTTTGAACATGAGAATTTTGTTTGGCATAGGGCAGCAACAGGTAGTCTACAAAGACTATTATTAGTTGATGACATCCATTATGAAGAAGTTATCTTATCATTTTATCGTTTGTAATTAAAACATGCAGCCATTCTGACAGACAGTAGTGTACCATAAGAAGTAAACCTTGGCAACGCAACAGTAAATTCCCCACTGTTCCCAGATCATGTGTTTTGGTTTGGGGGGGGGGATGGGGGTCTGTGGTGGAGGGAGCGATATTATCTATAATTAAGATTTTTTAAATAGATAATAATTTTTAGATATCGGTCAGGACTATTAGGACGTGTTGAAGGTAATATGGCTTTTATTGTTTTATTGCACTATAAAAGAAGAAGTGACCTGTCTCACAGGCAGGACTTTGAATGATGGGGGCAGTAAAGAGAGAGGAGCTGAAGGTGGCATAATAGTTTGATTAGTAGATTATTGGACTTATTAGAGAGTAAGTAGTAAACTACATGTCTTCTCACAGGGTAAAAACGCAGCCAGTGCTACACGGGAATGGACTGAACAGGAGACTCTGCTACTGCTGGAGGTACCTACACAGACATACACACGCCACAAATCTTTCCTGCTCTTTTTCTCATCCATGCATATATGCTGTGAGCTCTCTTCTTTGCGCTGTGCCTTCAGGGTCTGGAGATGTATAAGGATGACTGGAACAAGGTTTCGGAGCACGTGGGCAGTCGCACGCAGGATGAGTGCATCCTTCACTTCTTGCGGTTGCCTATTGAGGATCCTTATCTGGAGGATAGCTCCTCCTCCCTTGGCCCGCTGGCCTATCAACCGGTCCCATTCAGTCAGGCAGGAAACCCCGTCATGAGCACCGTGGCCTTCCTTGCTTCAGTGGTCGACCCACGAGTGGCCTCTGCTGCAGCCAAGTCTGCTCTAGGTGAGAGGTGCAAAGTCAATGAGAATTTTTTTTTATTCTTATTTAGTGTTTTTCTCTAAATAACAAATGTGATGTCATCATGACCCAAAGAGGTGCACATGTAATTGATTGATAAGGAGCTGGTACACAGTAATAGATTTGGAGTTAAAAGTACTTACTTGTTACTGCTTGTCTGCCTGACAAACTAACTACCATTACATACACATATTGCAGTTATCAGATCAACTAGGACACAGTTGGCTCTGTGTGTGTGAAATGTTATGGCTTTTTGTTGAACTGCTCGCAAGCAATGACGAGTGAGAAAACAATTCACACCTCTCCACAAAGACAACTGTGCCGAGATAAAAAAGACAGCACAACTGTTTTCTTCCTATCAATAATTTGTGTGCATCTGCTTAAATAATAGCATTTTAAATATGTTAACTTGCTTGCTTACCTACAAAGACAAACCTCCAATTCACTTTGTTTTTTGTAATCATATACAAATATATTTCATAAACATTATTGAAGAACAAATTTTGCATAGTTTGGAGGGATCTCCTTCAGAACAGGCAGAAATTACGTTTCATGGCTATGGTGAAATGGGGTTAAAGGACATTTAACAGCTGTAATTGAATACAATCACAGATTCTACCATAGCAGTATACAGCATGTGACAAGCTGAGCTTCAGCTTGCATTACTGCAGATGGTTTGAAAAATTAGTAGAAAGTCAAAACAAGTAGAAAAATGAGTTAACTGTGTCAAAATGGAATTAATGGCATTAGTAATTTTTCTCATTTGACTTTGACTTTGATAGCCCTGATATAAATATGAATATTTATTATAAATGCACAGTCATTCTGAGTATATTTAGGATCTGCTTTACTGTGCTGAAAACATGATTTGCATGTCAGGATGCTGGTTACTCATAATGTTGTGCGCGTGTGTGTGGCAGAGGAGTTCTCTCGTATGAAGGAAGAAGTGCCAGCGGCGCTGGTGGAGGCACACGTGCGTCGGGTGGAGGAGGCGGCAAGAGTAAGCGGAAGACCGGACCCTCTGTACGGCCTGGAGGGCAGTGGTATCGCCGGTACTGGCCTGGAGGAATCGGAGAAGCCTGGTAACCCCTGAAATCCTAGGCTTATTATTCAGTTGTCAATCTTAACAGTTTGTATGCAGTAATGTCTGTGAAATATTCCTTAAGTACTACGAAACTAATATATTAAATATTTAGTTAGATGAGGTATTGAAGAGTGAAACCTACATATGAGCCATTCCAATTTAAGGGGATTTATACATCTGTTTGTCTCTGCAGCAGAGGAGAGCAGTGAGGAGAGCAAAAGTAGTGATGGCCAACCAAGCGAGGATAAGAGAGAGAGTAAAGTAAGCAACCACATTCAATTTATAACACTGCAGGCAGTGCATTATAATTAACTTGTTATAATGGGTATGTATGTTATTTCTGTCTCTTTGGCGACCTAGGAGGGAAAAGATGGAGCGAGTGAAGAGGAAGAGAAGCAAGGAGAGAATGGAAAGAAAGAAGAAGAAAGAGCAAGAGAAGGAGAGACAGAAAGAGAGGCAGAGAAGACAGACTCAGAGATGGGTATGTTCATGTGACCAGAGGAGAAGGCAGATTAAGAATGTTTGTTCACTGGATTCAAATCCTTTTTTTTTACCTTTAGGTGATGCAGAGAAGGAGAAGGAAGGGAAGGAGGGATCAGAGGAGGGCCAGAGGGAAGGGGAGAGTGAGGGAGAGAGAAAAGCCAAGGTTGAAAGAGATGTTGGAGAGGGAAACCTGGCCACAGCAGCTGCTTCTGCCCTCGCTGCTGCTGCTGTCAAAGCCAAGGTGAGTGGGTAGGCAGTTGTATACGTAAATGTGAAGTTTTTGTAATACCACAGAAACAGTAAATTCAAAATAGGCTGTTTTTGCAGCTTTATTTGTCAATTGATGTATTGATCATATGGATGTTTTGAAATGTTAGAAGTACTGCATCAAACTCTTATTTTTACAAAATTAGAAACATTTGGTTTTTCATTATATGGGCTCTTTGAACACTAGGCTTTTAGCTTATTTAGCTTAGGTTTTATTATCCAGTAACTACTATGCATTATTCAATGTCTACTTTAAACTAATATTTAATATACACTATATGGACAAAAAAATTGGGACGCATCTCCTAATCATTGAATTCAGGTGTTTCTTTCAGTCCCATTGCCACAGGTGTATAAATTCAAGCACCTAGCCATGCATTCTGTCGTTACAGACATTTGTGTTAACTCTTTTCTGTGTGATTCTCTCTCTCTTCCTTTCTTTGGGTAGCACTTGGCTGCAGTGGAAGAGAGGAAGATCAAGTCTCTGGTGGCTCTGCTGGTTGAGACTCAGATGAAGAAGCTGGAGATCAAACTGAGACACTTTGAGGAGCTGGAGACTATCATGGATCGTGAGAGAGAAGCGGTAAGGCACCATGGGTATTGTAGTTTTCTGATCAGGTAACACAAAGTGTAATATTGGGCTTAATTTAGAATGAATTTATTTAATTTACATATCTCTCATGTTTGTTGTTTTTGTGTTGTAGTTGGAGTACCAGAGGCAGCAGCTCCTAGCGGATCGTCAGTCATTCCATATGGAGCAGCTGAAGTATGCAGAGATGAGAGCTCGGCAGCAGCACTTCCAGCAGATCCAGCACCAGCACCATAGCAACCAGCCTGGAAACCAGCCTGGCAACGCTCCGCCTGCACCCCATCAATCAGCTCCTAACACTAGTGCCCCGCCTCCTACGCCCAGCCCTGCCCCAGCAACCTCCACCAACGCCCCCAACGAAGCCCCACCCCCTTCAGCTTCTCATACCTCTCCACCCAACAACACACAGACTGGAGCAGTTCACGGTGAGAGAATATGAACATGCCAACTCATCATACATACAACCACACCCACACACACACACACAACAGATATTCATACTATGTGCATATTAAATGCATGTATCCATTCATGAACAATATACATTACTCATGATAAAATATAAAAGTTAAATGGTGTCATGTAAAGTTATATTGTGTATACTGAGTGCTTCACTGATGTTCCTTGCTCTTATGGTTCTTTCTCTATGCTCCATTTCCTCCCATGTTTCTCTCAGACTCCAGCGCTCCACTAGCAGGGGATTCCCTCCATCCCAATGCCCTGGTGCCCCCATCACAGTAAAGAGGGCCAAACAGAGAGTTTGAGGGATTTTAGAGTGTGGAAGGAAAGAGATAGAGAAAGAGAAGAGATTGAGACAGGGGAACAAAGGGAAGAAAATGTAGTTTTTATCTTTGACTTTGTTTTTGGGAGACAATTACTTCTCAGTAAAAAAAAAAAATGCCAACATCTTAACAAAATGACTGATTCAGCGTGACATGAGAACCCGAATCAGTGTAACCTTAGAGATCCGTTTGGACCAACCCCTTTTAAACAGCCAGAAAAGAAACCGCACAAAAAACACAAACAAACACACCTCTGGCTTAAAGATATCAGAAAAAAAAACAGAATGGAGATGAACAGTATTCTTCAGCTTCACTTTGCATCAGAACACCAGAAGCAGTATTTTGAAGGGCCTTGTGGGATTTGTAGTCAGGCTCCAGCCTCTTCTCTGTCAGTGTTTACTGAGCCCTTCACCAAACTGCAGAATCCACAATTCTGAGGTCATCTAAAGACATGTCAGTGTAGGTACTCATGCCTGTTATCAACAAGAAGAGAAAAAGAAAAAAAAGAAAAACTGCACTTTTTAGAATGTTTCCCCATTTTTACCTTGGAGAAGTATAAAAGTCTGATTTGACCTGAAGCACTTAAATGTCCTTAGCAGTCTCCTTACACTCACTTAATCTTTGTATTCATTTAATAGAAGCACTCGGTTTGGAACGAATTTGAAAAGAAACTTGATTTTGTATTTGTTACTCTGTATGTGTGACTGTTGGTTTTACTCTTGGGACAATGTGAAAGCTTTAGTGGGTTGGCCTGTTGTGCTTACTTTGATTATTTTTTACGTACAAGTTACTTTTAGCATGACAAAAAAAGAGGGCAACAAAATAGTGTTAAAAGATGTTTGCCTTGTCTTTGACTGTAGATGAAAACCATGTACTGTAAACTTGGAGAGTATGTCATAAGCTCGTAACCTTTCCACTCCTGAGTGCGTGTGCGTGTTTGTGTGCAGATGAGACGACTTTGTCTGCAGTTTCTTTCATTCTGCTATAAAACAGTGAACGTTTATAAGTCTTTATAGATGTTTTGTTTTAAAGATTGACTGCCTTACACTAGGTGGGCCGCTTACTCCACTGTGGGTGAGACAGCTGGTGTTAGTTCACTGACTTGTTACAGGCTAACTGACAAATTTTATCATGTGTGAGAAAACTTTGGTTGGAATTGCAGGAGATATTTCAGTTTCTGTGTCAGGAAAGGTCAGTCAAGATGCAGTTGATCGTGTATGATACTAAGAATACAGGTAGAATTACTTCAACTGTAATCCGAATTATTTTAGCAAAGTACAAACCTCATATCACACAGAATATTTCATTCTGATGAAGCTCAGATTGAGCGCGTATGTGTACGTGTGCGTGTGTTTGTCGAACCCCAGGCCAAACCCACAGGAAGCACGGCTAAATGAAGGAAAAAGTCTTTGGATTTCATTACCTTATGACTGTCTGAACAGTTCAAACAAGGGATTTCAAAGTTACATTTGCAGTTGTATTCTGTGTATCTTCATATTGTATTCTTCCTATTTTTGTATTTTTATATGTTTCTTTCCACTATTATCATGGTTGCAGTATTGCTGTTAACATATTACACTTGTAACTTTGCTCTCTTTCTCATTGTGAACATGCTTGTGTTACTGATTCGTCGATGTGAAAGTGTCATTCTGTACCATGAGACTGGACCGGTTATGCCCTCAATTATTTGCCATACGTTTCTTTATTTAAGTTCTCTGCCTTTATGTGCCATGTGTTTTTAAAATACAATGCGGATAACTCACTGCTCGACTCTGTTGCAGAGCAGTGAACGCCACAGCCAATATCAAACACAGGCTTTCACAGTAAAGCGGTTTACAGCTGTTCATATGCATGTCAACACTCCAGTACACAGTCTAACAGCTCTGCTCACCCAACACGGGCCTCATCGCCAGAGTTAGGGACGTGATACGACCAACCCCTGAAGATCGCTGGCTTTTTCTGTCTTTTACATTGTGTGACACTAGTGATATATTAAATAGTCTGTCTGTATGTTTCTTTATCTCTTCGTTTGGTTTGTCTTTTTTAAGCGATGGTGCGAAAAGCTGATAAAGAGTTGCGTATACAGTGGTCAGGCTTTGGACGCGCGTCCTTTGCTGATTTGTTGCAGGTTAACGGGTCAAACACCTGCTTGCTCAACAGACTGGTTAGTAAGAATGCATCAGTTTTAGTTTCAGAAATACATCCAGACGTCCTGAACAATAAAATATCATCAATAATCAGTTTCAAGTGTCAAGTCTTTTGCGTAATCAGGTTGACTTGTGATGAAACTTCCAGCTCCAAAGTGTTTCCTCCATTTGTCACACCTGTTTCAGACTGAGGTCACTTGTTCTTCGCCATTGTGCGCTGCTGAATGATGAATAACGGCTATCATTATTAAATGGTCTTAAACGATCTTTAACAACATCATAATTAAATGATTAAGATGTAGCCAGTCATTCAGAGTATTTTGGTCTGAATGCTGAGTCAGACTTGCTTACAGTGAAGGTGATATGATGCAGACCTCTGAAGAGCTTAATGCCTCCCAAACTTCCCTCACACACACACACACACACACACACAATGGTTCTGAATACACTGCCTGACGCCTGAGGTTGTTTTATGATCATTTAGTAATAACGTTTTGTCCTAAAACGTCTTGTAAGTCTAATTATTTTAATCCATTCATGGCGGAGGGGTACACACAGGGCGTTAAGGCTAAGTAGCAGTACTTTTTTCGTACTACTTTAACATTATAAACTTTACATATAAAACTTACAGGATACGTGTAGGTTCACTGGTGGTTTTGGGTTGTGATAAAATCGCTGTATTTGTGTTGTAGAATATCGTGACACCTATCACCACCGCTGTGAAGATTGGACCATTTTACATCAAATCACTCCGAATGATTTACAGACTAGCGTTGAATTACATTGCAACGACGGAATTATGAAACATTTTGAAAAATTGGTGGAATTCCTCTTTAAATAGAGTAACTAGGTTTAATCAAGTACTTGGCAGCCTTAGTCATCACTCTAAAATAACCCTATAATAAATAAACTGAAATGCCACACAACTCTGGTATGTGCTTTTAATGGAAAATAAATGAATGATTAAGTAAAAGTGCTTCGAAGAAAGGAGCTAAAAGGAGTAAATTATTACCAGGTTCCAGTACACAGAGTGAAGAGTAATAGCAGTAATAGAGCCACTAGAGGGCAGCAGTAATACATCTCCGTTCAAACCGGTTCCTCAACAGCTCGGGCCGCTATAAACAGTGCTACTTTTTAAACCTACTAAATGTTAGGACGTTATTTGTTATTTCGTTTTTAGTCATTACTTAACTGAAGTGGCACAGTTCAGTTCGGTCAAATATAGCAGGTAAACACTGTACAACAATTTTCTTTTTCTGAAGGTAAGCTGCAGTATGGCACAACTGTGAATAGTTGAGGAATTTGGAAGACAAAACTATTGTGAGAGAAATAATTATCTGTAATATAGCAGTTGTTGGTGCAGTAAATGTCTTCTTTGTTCATAATCTTGCTCACTCTTTAATCCAGCAATAAAGTAACCAAATGACCAACACACTGATAGCCACAGTGTTTACACATAACTTCTGCAAGTCAGTTTGAAGTGTACAGTTTGCATACTTTATCTATGTGGCTTCCAAGTTTGCTAAGCCTCTCTTTGTATTACCAAAGAAGGATCACTAGCGTGTGGCTGTGAAATGCTCCCTACACACAGATACAAAGCGATCTCACATTCCTAATTTGGTTGTGCCATAAATTGAACTGAAAGGAGTCCATCAGAACTTGCAGAGTAAACAAGAAACTCTAAGGGATGGAGAATGAATAACATAACCCTACAAGGCCATCCAGCGTTCTACAAGCACACATTAAAAACACTGACATGAGGGAGAAATAAGAATAAACAAAAGTTTTTTTTTTTAAAACCTCTGAGTATTTATTAATTTACACTTGAACAATACAACAGGTAATGGGGAGGGGCTTAGGGTCAGCTACTAACAGACGAATGATTCGGATATCATGGTTACCCTGCCCCAGTTTACAGTGAGTCTACATGCACCTTTTTCGGTATAAAACACAATGACTGGGTGAGCAGGATCAGAACACACTGGACCAATAGGTTGGAAATGTTATAGTGGAATGCAATGCCTGACGTAAAGCATTAAGACTTCTGTCTTAACTCCATGGAAGATGTACAGGAATTAACATTCAGAAACTTCCCTGGAAAAAGAAAAACGTTCCATGGATGTTTCAGGAATGGCAATGTAAAACAAACAGATTGAAGGCACTTAAGAATACAATGCAGCCATGGACACATACATAACAAAAAAAAAGAAAGGAGGGGACAAAAAGAAAAAAAAAAAGAAAGAAATAAACTTGTGTTTTTTTTTTAAATCTTCAACCGCTCATGACCATCCTTACGAGTTCTGTGTGAAAGAGAAAGAGAGAGAAGAAAAATGTCAGACAAATTTGGGCAATTGATTGACCTCCACCTACAGCAGAGGTTAGGTCACCATGCAAATCCCAAACCTAGCACTCAGTACTGCTATAGCACAATATACAGTATGTATGGTGCTCTGGCTGTCAGTCAACAACAGTTCCATGGAAACTCCCAACAATAAACAGAAGGGGTGGGTTGCTGCAGCCTGGGTGAGAGAAAATTAAAGCAACAGCAGAGACTGTCCAGACCTACAGGAAGCTGTAATGTGTTAGGGTTAGCACCTCCTTATATGGGCAGAGAACTAGACAGAGATATACTCCTGAAAGAAAGAGAGAGACAGGCCATTGGAGTCTTGCACAATCAGTAGTACACAAGAACAGAAATAACACCTTCAAATCACCCCAGCACACCAATACTAAAGCATCTCTTCAGAGAAAAACCTCATAAACAGAAGAAAGAAGTATGTATATCATTCAACTTCCAGCATCCACTGAGTTTCCAGTTTATTAGGCTCTCCAATCTTGCAGCTACACTCATTGACCATTTTATCAACACCTACCATATAAGTGCACTTTGTTGGTTTACAACTACTGGCCACAGCCCATCTGCTGATGCACAAATTGTTTGCCCCATCCATCAATGGAAAGGAACCACCATAGTACCAGGAATGTTCGACATGTTACGCTTGTTGCAAGTGTTTCAGGCACAGCAGCATTTCTGCTGTTTTTAAACACCATGCACAATTACTGTCAACTCTACCTGGTGGTACACCTTGTAGGTGCACCATTACAGAATATAGCTCATCTTTCCCACGCACAACTTGTGTTAGTCATCCTTTAAGCCAGGGGTGTCCAATCTTATCCGCAAAGCGCCGATGTGGCAGCAGGTTTTCATTCCAAACAAACAGTTTCATCAGTTAGTCTGAGTCTTCAACAACTGATCATGTGAGCTTTTGCTTTGGTGGAATGAAACCTCACAGCCACAATGGCCCTTTGCAGATAAGACTGGGACACCCCTGCTTTAATCCTTCATCAAACTAAACACTCACCCTCTGTTGGCCTGATCATTTTTGGTTGGTGGATTGTTCAACACTGCAGTAACACAGAAGAGGATAAAACGGTGGATAAAATATTGCACCTAATACACTTCTGCCAGCCTGAAACCTACTAAAATGCCACTGATAGTCATTGCTGGGCTGAAAATGATCCACCAATTAATATCTGTTCATAAAATGGTCCTATGGTGGTCCCTGGCCATTTATAAATAGCTCATAGCACCAGTTGGGCTACAGACAGTAATTAAATACCTATGAAGTTCACCTATATGACAGTATTTCTGATAAACTGGCCAATAATTGTAGGTACCTAAAAGATAAAACCTAATAAAGGTTACTTAATAAAGTGGCAATTCAGTGGCAGTCCTTTCATTTGATTCAGGAGTTGCAAAATATTCCTTAAGTTCAAATACATCTGCAGAAGTAATACAGCTTGAGAAAGTGAACAACGCAGTGGGGCTCTTTCAGACATCTATTGATCTGGCTGATCTGTGGGAAAAGGGAAGAGGCTGCTACAGAACAGGGCATCAGAAGAGGCCAGCCAGTGCAAATGATACAGTTAGAATCACTACAGCAGCCTGCTCTCCAAGAATCTCACATAAGTCTCCTAGCCATGCAGAGCTGCTACATGCTAGGCTACAGTCAGGAGGCACATGAGAGAGGGGGCTGCAGGAGATAAAAATGAAAAACAAAAACAAAAACAAAAAAAAACAACAACAACAACAACAACAACAACAACAAAGAAGTAATAAAACCAAAAGAGAGAAAGAGATGGGTTCACTGTCCGTACCCTCCACTCAGCCGGCCATGATGTGGCGCACAAAGGCTGTTGGGACGATGAAGGAATAAAAACACAGACATTATTACAGACACACAAATGTTTGAAGCAGAAAAAACCCACACAAACATGTCCTTGGACCTCTAGCTGAGAGCTTTACCTTCATAATTGATGCAGCCATTAGCATCCTCATGCCCTGCCAAGAGAGTCTCCACCTCCTCTTCTGTCATTTTCTCACCTGCAGGCACACACACACACACACACACACACACACACAGACAGACAGACACACAGACTATATTTTTCTACAGTTCATAGCCATAAATAACTGCAAGACATAATTAATTCTAGCTGGATTAGTTTTACCAAATTAGGGCAGTAGTGTTAATGGTAAAGGATTTGACTTTGAAGAAAAAGGTACTTCACTTTTCACTTTTCATTCTCCTTCTGTTGGCAAATACTGCTGCCCTCCACGCAGCAGACTGGGGTTTGATTCCCCACCTAGTCAAGCACACCATGCTACACCAATAAGAGTCCTTGGGCAAGACTCCTAATGCTATACTCGCCTGCCTCATGATAAAGTGACACTTTGGATAACATTTATGCCAAAAAGACAACAAAACGTAAAAGTAGTTGCCAAAAGGAAAAAAAAAACAAACCAACAAAGATATGCTGTCATCTATTACCAGGTTTGTTCATTACATTACTGCTAGGCTGATTCACATAGGACTACCATTACTAAAGCCACTCCAGGTTAGACAAATTAGAAGGTAATTCACCTTGAAATTATCACTCAGCAGACTTGTAAAAACTACTGCCACTGCAAATTAGTACTGGATTAAAATCACAGATCAACAATAATCACTCAAATTACAGCACCTCTCAATGTAACTAACCCGCCTTAAATAGTACTTTAGCACTATCTCAGAAACACTTTCAAATTAGGCATTGGCTGCTCTGAAACCTCTGGCACGACACATCACTTTGAAAGAACAAAGAAGTGTCTTGGGGGGGTGCTCCAGTATGAAATTTTGAGGTTCTTTCTTTTAGGGAAAACAGGTAAGAGTTGATACTTTTAAATCAATTAGTAGGGTAAGAGGTTGTGGGTTTTCTCAGCTCAGTTATGCATAGCCTCAGAGTTATGCAAAGGTCAGAGACGTCTGGCTCCTCCTTACCTAGGGTGGTCAGAACGTGACGCAGCTCAGCACCCATCACTGTGCCATTGCCCTCTTTATCAAACACTCTCAGCCCCTCCACAAAGTCCTCAAAAGAGCCCTGGTCCTTGTTCTTGGCGATGGCCTGGAGCATGGGCAGGAACTGCTCAAAGTCCAGCATCTTTATGTTCATTTCTAAGAAAGACAACCATCACACATATACATTAGTCACCACTTTACTCAACATCATTTTTAGTGTCACTAATAAGCCTAACAGACAGATGATACTTGATTGTGACAATAGAAGCTAAACTAAGCAACATTTAGGCTTAAACCACCCAGAATACTTCATCCTGAGCGCTCAAGAGAATATTTAATGCTTTTCAGTGTGGTGCTTTAACAAATCAGTGCAACTAACTGAAAAGCCTAAATAATCACTGATGCAAATGCACATGGGCTCCTTTCAGAAAGTAAAAGCTAAGTCCTTGGTACATAAATATTTCGGCTGATTCAATTATCCTACTCTGTCTGCTGAGCGTGGCCATGCAACTGGTAACATCATATAAATGAATATCACTCTGAAAATGTCATACTATTGACATACACTGCTGTAGAAAAGGAAGGTAATGGTGACAAAAGTAGTGACTCACTGTTTTTTAATGATTCAGGATTATATTGTAAAACATTTAGTCCCATCCTTCTGAATGATTACAAACCTGACAGTTTGGTTTTCTGCCATCTTTCATAACCAAGCATTCTCTACCTTAGGACATGACTCAGCTCAGCACCCAGCATGGTGCATTACATGCTATACTGCATCACAACAAGGTCAACAAACACCCTCAAGCTCAGCTCTGATCAATCAGACTACAAGTCAGCAAAGTCAGTTAGAGTGGGGTTCTGACCTTCAGCCTTGGGGTTGCCGAGCACTTTGAGCACTTCAGCGTTGACAGGGTTTTGGCCCAGAGCGCGCATCACGTCCCCACACTGACTGTAGCTGATCTTCCCATCGCCTGTCCGGTCAAAGAGCAGGAACGCCTCCTTAAACTCTGAGGAAAAAGTAAACATGTTTGTGAATGAATAGATAAAACAGAAAAAAGAAAACTTTGCTGGAAATGAAATGTTAAAATGGGAGAAAACAGAGATTAAAGGAACAATACTGCCAAAAAAAAATAATCTATGAACTTTTTATCTAAACCCAAATGTGGTTAATCAGCCAACACATATTTCATGTCTGAAGTTTGCTTCCTTAGCTTTGAGCTATCAGGCTAACATAGCTAACAAGCAAGAGAAGCTCATACCACACCAAATACCAAAGAAGCAAATTCCTGACATGCACTGGCTTATCTACTAGGAGAAAACTGCATTAATTTGATGTTTGGGAAGGCAATAGTAGGGGATTAAAGAAAACACATGCAGGCATGTTTGCTTTGGTTTTTATGTGGGGGAAAAATGTCTCACTCAGGCAAGCAAAATAACATTTTTACAGGCTAAAGCTGAATCTCAAATGGCTCCCTACTGCCTAAATAGTGCACTGCATAAGTCATGAAACTGACTTGTACACCCAAATAATGCACTAAATGTTAGAAAGGAAGTAATGCTTATGGCTGAGTATAAAAGGCTTTCTATTTGACATATAATGCACTATTAGGGTGTAAAATACATTAATATATGACCTACATAGTGCGCTGCATAAGGAGCAGGGAGACATCTGAGACTCAGCCTAAATGATAAAGCACGAGTACATTTCATTTCACTATTTGGAAATAAAAGGCATTTTACAATAAAGATACACGCACAACTAATATGGAACAACAGCTGGTCTACTTTCTCTATTATTCTGAGCTCAATGGTTACATGGTTGTAGTTATTATATATTGTAGAGAAGAAATGATTATACAGTGCTTGTATAGTTTATCTATATATACGGTGTTTCTTATCTGCATGCTGCTGTTCTACGCTAAATGTAGTACTGTGTCCTGGAGAAACTACATTTCGTTCCTCTCTCAAACACATCTGTGACGAGAGGAAATGACAATAAAGCTGACTTTGACTTTGTTTCAGGAATTCATTTATTAATGTAATGTCAGTGTCAAAATGTGCAAGGAGTGTACTAGTCGAGTGTGGATGTACAGATGACTCTGGTCAGTGAGAGCCCCCCCCCCGGCTCTGAGCTGTGAGAGGAATGCGGCTACCCCGAGCAGGCCTGACTCAAACTCGGCACTACGCTACACTTAGCCTTATATGGCAAAGAGAGAGAGAGGGAGAGGGAGCGTGAGTGAGGGAACACGGCACCCCATCAACCAGGACTTCATCAAACAAACAAGAGGGAGGAAATTACACAATGCTGAAAAACAGGACGCCGCCTAAAAAGGCGAGAGAGCTCCGCGGCAGAAGTTGGTCCAAGAGCTCTTCGATCTGAAAGCTAAAACCTAAACAAAGTGCACAACGGCGGCGACTTCCATTAGATCAGCGTGGCCACGCCTTTAAGGCAGGCCTGACACAGTTCTGGTCCAGACAGCACATCCCGTCAAAAAACACAATAAGCAGTATAAGGAAGTGTTTAAAACAATAACGCATCTCTTTACACTACTTATACAGAGAGAACAGCGAGCGAACATCCCTCTTTTTACTTTATTCTACTGGAAAACAGCATTTTATTCTTATTATTGCTTCTCACTGCATTTACTTCCGGCTTATAAGCGTCAAACAAGCGGTTGTGTTCTGCATCCACTTTGTTTAAGATATTTCAGACAAAAAACAGCACGATTATGCAACCGCACTACCAATGAACTACCAAAGGAGGATTCAGTTAGGTTAGTGACATATCTTTTTGCATGCCAAGTATTCTGGAGTTAAGAGACTCATCATAAGGTTAACAGGCATTAGTGTTAGATTATCACTTCCTCCGTTCATCACGCCAGCGTTCACTGCACTCACCAGCTAACGTTTGTTCCTGGCGACACGAAGAAGGAAAACATAACAGGACAGTGTAGAAGATAAGAGGACAGACATTAGGTCACTGAGGAGGACAGGTCTCATAACCCCACTCTACAGCTAACACCTGTCCTCATTCCACATTTCTGACTAGTAAATGAATAAGAAGCCCTGCGAGGCTGAAGCCTAGCTTCTTATTCGGATTTCCCGTTCCACCTTAAATAGTGCAGCTGTTACATCTGTAGAGGCGCCGGAATGTAACTAGCTTAACGGCTGCTGCACCATTTAAGGTGGAACGGAAAATTCTAATAAAAAGCCAACTTTAGCCTCATAATTTCAGCACTGATGACATTAACGCAAACTCACCACTGATCTGGTCCTCCGAAAAGTCAGACTGAGGGCACGGGCAGACAGACGTTGCAGAAAATGAGAGAAAAAAACAAAATCAAATCACATCATCACTACTATAGGTTATAACAAAGACACGGAAAGTCAACGAACTGTGCATTGTTGGTGCCAAAAACAGCTAGCGAATAAAACAGACAGTTAGATAAAGCAGGGCTTAGCTAGGTTTCTTGTTTAGCTATGTATCCAGCGTTAGCTGTGTTAATCCCCCCGGCCTGTCAGCAGAAGGCTCGGCAGCGCAGCGCGCCTTTCAGCGTGAAACCCGCCGTTGAGGAGCCGCGATAAGGCACTGAAACAGACAACTACGGCACCGATCCGCGCTGCTCTGGCTCTGATTAAAAGACGTTCATGTGTAGCTTTCAGATCACTCACCATTGCGCCGGCTGAGAGGTGAGGTGGGGCAGGCTGAGGGTTGTAGACCGTTGGAGCCCGGACTGCGCGAGGTCCGCCGACACACAGCAGCAGGGTAATAGATGCATGACGTAATTTAATCTCGAGTCAGAGCCTCGACCAATCAAAACATGTGGGCGTCGGCTGAATCCCAAACGGCTCCCTACTCGCTATGTAGTGCACTACATGGGCAGAGTTGGGCAACATTTCTTCAGTTGATAGTTTTACTTATGAGGAAAGGAATGTATTTTGGCTCAGCTCCGTTTTGGTTATTCGCGTTTAGTTCCTACTTCCTTTTTGTGTTTCATTTCATTCTTTAATGTTGGTAACAGCACCTGGACTTTTTGACCGTTGTCCACATAGCTTGTAAGTTTCAGCACTTCCTTTTAGACTGAAAGCATGTCAAAAAGAGACGAATAGCGCTTAACAAACTTCAGTTCCTACGCAGATGGACAGATGCAGGATCTACTAGGAAGTTCTACCGGGAACTCGGTTGTTGCGTTTACGCCATTTTACTCATTATAAACTAAAGTTATTTACTTGTAATTTAGTCATTATTGCACTGAAGTAACAGTTACTGTAGGTGCTCACTCTTGGTCATAAAGTAATGCGTTGGGATTCACTCTTAAGTAATTCAGTTCAGTATCTAGTCATCTTTCTTTGCCACTTCTACTTGATTAAATTCAAAATTTGTTTAATAGCCGTGTAAAACTTTTTACAACCTTTTTAAATGTTTCTTTCTGGCGCACTAAAGCCTGACACACTGCCATGAAGCCACGTTAGAAAATTTAATTTGTGCACTACCAGGAAACTACAGTTCAAGTGTCTAGGGGAAGTACACAATGATTGAATTGAACTTCAAATTTGGCACAACAGAGGGAGTCTGATAGTCACAGCGATACCTTGTGGCAAGCAAGAAAACATCTTCTCATTTACAAGTTCATGAAGCTTCCTAGAGTAGCAGCGCTGATCTAGAATCAGATTCCGCTCTTATTTACTTTGAACACAGGAAGAGATCCTAGATATGAGCACTTCTACTCTTAGAAGCTTCCTGAATACTGGTCCTGGTATGAAATTGCATTCGTCCTTACTTTTACAGAAAGACGATCCGTTATTTCCTCGCCATAGTATTTCCCCTTATTAGGAGTCTGGATTTATGTAAAGGTGTTTTGTGGCAATCACCATTATAAAAGGTGCTATACAAATAAAGCTGGAAACTCTAGAATGAGCACTAAACACATAATTGGTAGTACAACTCATAAGTACACACAGAAACAACCCGTGTGCTACATAAAATGTTTTATTTTGAATGTGGAGATTCAGCTCATTTGATGTTGAAAATATGAGCAGGATTTTATAGCTATACATATGTCAGACCTTTAGTCTCTGGCCAAAATAAGTTATTTTCATTTCTCTTAACAGTGTAGGCCTTGAAAAAAGGTATTTCATTTTGGTACTTTGAGTTTCTCTGTGATTGAATACTCTTTTTAATGACCAGAGCTGATACAATTAATGTGCTGTGCTCCTCAGGCACATTCAAATATTGCTTTTGCCTTAGTATGGGTCTTGACTGGTTCACAAGTGTAGCATGACTATACAAGCAGACTGTCATCCTATTGCAACACAGTGTGGTCTTTGCTCACTCCACTTCTTGAGTGGTGCTCTCACCACATTTGTAGCGTATAAAGTCGAGCACACGTGCATTATGCAAGGTGAGGTACTGTCCCACAGTGTATTTGGGCTCTAGCAGGAAGGTCTGTGGTAAAAGTCGTGTCTCAGATTCTCCACAAGGTAGATCCTCCATGTTTCCTAGAGTAACAGGAGCCTCCCCCACTATATGCTGTCCCAGCTTCTTTCCAAATGCCTCTGCCTGTCCTTCAGGCCCACCCTGGAACACAAGCAGCGCACCATAGCGCCCCATTGGCATGCTGCTCTGTCCTGTAACCGCTCCATGGACATACGAGCCAATGTGCCAATCAGCAGGAACACCTACAGACACAGCCCGCCTTACAGAAATGTTCTCACCCAAACGGCCTGGGAAGGAAGAGCACATAAATTAGAACTGAGAGAACCAATAACGAAAAAGGTAAATTAGAGCAGAGCATGGAATTAAGAAGGTTTAGATATGGATGCAGCAATTATTCATTATTAATTAATCACTGATTATTAATTGACAGTATTTATTATGAAAATTAAGAACAGCATCCATCAATGCATGTCTGTGTGATTCACACATCATGTAGATGCAGAATGGGAAGTCACTCACAGACCTACATTTCCTGCTTGTCTTACCTATAGTCAGTGCCATCTGATCTGCCACTGAGGGACCCTCCACCATGGTGAGCTTAGCAAGGTTTTCAGCAGACAGCACACTCTGCAACAAAGATGATTTTATATATGATAGTTTTTTATGCCCTCTTGCTGTGAGAGTGATGATGCTAAATGTTAGCATTCACACTTACTGAAACTAGGCAGTCTGGAAATACCTTTCTATATCCGCTGTGCACCTTGCTGCAATGATGAGCCATTGTAGCCAAAGCAACATCCTGCACCAGCTGCTGAAACTTTTCATTCCTTGCCACAAAATCAGTCTCACAGTTTACCTTAAACCACACAAACACAAAAAACATTTTCATTAAAACATACAACACATATAGGTGTAACCACATGCATTGTGACATTATATCATCATGGTGTTGTGGGTAGTGTGTTAGATTGGTGCTAACATATTAACTTGTCTCTGGCACTTTAGAACAGTATACTATGAAACCTTTGCTTAAAGCTGCACTATGTAAGGTTTTTGGTTAAAATGTAAAAAAGTAGCATTACTCGGTGAAGAGAAGAAAACAGAACACATTAAAATATGGTGTCTTTGCACTGCTGCAAGTCACCCTGTAAGGCCTCAAATAGTCATTTAAAAGTCAGATTTTCAAACCACATACATCTTTATTTATTAACGCCACACACAGGCTCAAAAAGAAGGTCCAGCTTGATGCCTAGGTCTTAAATGCAAAATCAACATTATACTGATCAAGATATGGTGACAATATTAGATAAATTATTTACATCCCTGGAAGACACCCTTAACCAAGTTTTGATTGAGTTCTCTTTCAATACTCTCAATGCACTCGCGATCATCAGATTCATCCACACAGAGAAGGGGTCCAAAGCACCACCGTTGTTACAGATTTTCTTCTGAGCATTGCATGCAATTACACGTTTCCACCAGAGAGATCTCCAAATCCCCAAATCGTACATAGTGCAGCTTTAATGTTTTTATAGTGTTAAGAACCTAGTCTGAAAGGATCAAACCGGCACTGTGCTTGCAAAGCCTCAAATGTTGTACTTTTCTAATACTGAATAAACTGAAAATGGAAACATTAGACTAAAGCACATTTTCAGGCACTCCTAATATTTGTTGTATTGTATCATATCAAATCATCATCAAACCAAGAAATGAATTTTGTGACTTGTTACACCTCTTTGGATATGGTGTGGACATTACATTAGCCCTATTGTGTGTGGTAACCACCCCTGTTCCTTGAGTACCCTTGTCCTGCACATTTTAGAGTACACCCACTTCAGCTCAGGAAATGTTTGTTAACGTGCTGAGAAGTTCGATCAGGTGTGTGAGAGCAAAGAAGAATATACAAAAAAGGAGCACTCCAGGACCAGATTGGGGGAGCCACTGATTTAAGATATAAGGTGTGTATTCAAGCAAGGTAAATGAAAAGGTTTTGCTGAATTCTGACCTCCACCATGACAGCTGCATTATCCCTCATCAGCAGACCAATCAGTCCTTCTTTGGCTCTCCGGCCCTCCAGTTTGCTTGCTTTGCTCCATCCCTCCTTCTGAGCCTGTTCATGCAGCCAGTTTTCTGCCTGCAAAACCACAAATAATGAAATATCCCCAGTACACAAAATCAAAAACTCGTTTCCCACCTTGAAAGTTCCAGCTCACCTGAGAAATATCGTTGTTAAACTTCTCCAGCGCCTTCTTGCAGTTGATGAACGTGTAGCCGGTGGCTTTACGCAGTTTTACCAGGAGCGCTTTATCTGCTGCGCTGCGCACACACTGGACAGTGTGTTTCTGAAAGGTGACCTGAGAAGGACATAGACTGACATTCAGAGTGCTTCGAACAAAATATAAAACAAAGAAGACGAGGTAAACGCAGTATAAAGAGGTACAGATGATGTTGGTGAGGCTGCGTGCTCCCCCAGGATACATGCGGCCAGCCTTCATACGTCAGCCTGTTTAGCCACTGGCAGTGAATAAGAATAGTTATACTGTGTATATACTAAATATCATTCCTACCTTAGTGAGCTCTGCTCGTATAGACCTGAATAAAGTTGACACAACCATCTCTGCTACCGGAATGTCATTGACCCACGCTGAATACGGAAAGCCGAAAGGACACTGTACTTATTCTTCAGCGAGTTCGCCGTGTGTGGACCACAGATACAGAGTACGTTGCTCCACCTACCGCACAGGAGCGCACTGAGCGTGTCCCTACAGGAAGACGTAGATCTGCGCCTTCTGCTGGAAACATTTGGAAAAGCCATTCATTTCGTCATAAAGTAGATTCATTAGCGAATTAAAATCACTTAAAGCTTTTTATAAAAATTGTTAGATTATATATTTACTCTTTTGATGTCATGCTTGAATGGTATGATGATACTACTGAGATTATTGTTCACATATTCTGATTTGCTGTTGTCTGATATTCCTCCGACGTTGTTTGTAAAAAAAAATCACTTAAAGCTGAATGTTTTGTGAAACATTTTGTGGCCATGCAAGCCCAATATAGAACATCATATTTTGTTCAGTCGTATATCTCAGTGTTTCTCAACCCTGCACACTTAAAAATATTCTTCAAGGGTCCTTTAGTAAAGCAGTGGTTCGATATAGAACCATGAACATTCAAAGAACACTTTGCATGATTAAAAGATTCTTTGCATCGTGAAAGCGTTCTTCATATTGATGGAGAATGTGCTGTAGATGGTTCTATGTAGAACTTTTTTGGTAAGGGTTCTATATAGCACCAAAAAGGGTTGTTTTAGTGTTACGATGTCAGGTTTGTTACAATAGGAGAACTCTTTTTGGTGCTGTATTTTTTTATATCCCATTACAAATCCACGGTTTTTGTGCTGGTGTTAATGCCAGAGGAGGTTTCGGAATGCCCAAGGATGTTCAAATTCAGTGAGCTCTTTAGAACGACCCGTTTTTTCACAAATGTTTGTATGGCCACAACCCCTAAACATTGGCAGCACGGCCCGTGGTGTAAGTGCTGAAAATATGTCAACACTGTCCAAAGAAAAACGTGTATCTCAAAAACAGAATTTTCACAGGAGAAAGCAAAAAATTCTTAATGTAATTGAATGTAAAGAGATTTTGTTTCAAGTTATTTTGGAGCATCTCTACTGGCTCATTCATCATGACATTTTCAGACAATTTAAAGGACAGTGGCCATGTTCAAATGATGTGGAACAACAAAAAATCAATAACAGTGGAGACATATTTTTTGACAGTGACGATGTGCTATGATAACAAAACAACAACAATACTACTACTATTAATGATAATATCAGTTATGCTAAAAATAATACCTTTAAGGTGTTATATTAGAGTTCTGTTAAGATATTTTGTACTCAAATGTTACTCAGTACAGGTCTTATCCTATTTTAAACAATAGAGTGAATGTGGGCCTATTGTTCTTTTTTGAGGGTGTTTATATTCCAGCCACTGAATAAGCACTCATATCATTTTGTTCCCATACTTTATCCATATTTAAAGAGGAATTTAAGTATTTAGGTTCATGTTGAAATTGACAGTCCATCAGTTTGTCAGAAGTTTGCTTCCATGCCATGAAGCAGTTTATGGTGTTATTGTAGGTGTAGCAAAAGTGAGAGATGACAGACGGTAAGTATTGTAAAACCCTTCTGAACAGACGTACCTTATTGTTTCCTCTTACACTTGAATGGACCAACCTTACTGTTTCCTCTTTGTGTTGTCCTTAATGAACATTTGAGAGTAATCTACATAGCCCTGATGATCTCCATGCAGTTGAGCGTTTTCTGCACTGGATGACAGATTGAGAAAGCTTTCTGTTCCATTCACAGTGGGAACAGCACCAGGTGGCTTTCTTTGACCCTCTGCATGAACTGCAGAAGCCCTTTCAAGAGCATGTTTAGATCATGTGCACTTGCCTATTGAGAGTAATGTTTACAGCAACTACAGAGGGGAATTAATCACATGAAACTGTGTTGGTGGAAGAGAAAGAGAGATGGAGACAAATTAAGAAAAAAGAAAAGAAAGTCTCTCATAAAGGAATAGCCTTTAATCAGATCATTCTTTAGAGTTTTGCTTTCTTTCTGGTTACACATGGACACATTTTGGAGCTAGGGCTGTCTGGTCCACATGCTCTGCTGAAGTTTGAGAGCTGGTGCTATGATTGGATGGTAACACAAATGGGAGGGGCCTTTAAGGTGTGAACAGGCAATTCAGGCTGGTATAAAGGCTGGACAACTTTTTAATGTGGACTTCTTGGTCACTTTCTGTGCCTGATGAAGAAGATGAGGATCAGTGTGCTTCTTTCCCTCACACTTACCCTGATCTCTCAGGGCTACAGCAGTGAGTTCATAAATTTTTCAATCTACCATATACCTTTGGTAACAATCATTGTTCAGACAACTGTAACGTCTGTTGGTATTGATTCCTTCGATTCCTTATTCTCATTACTACAACTTACATATTAATAATAGCAATAATAATAGTCATTGTAACACCAACAACAGCAATACCTTTTAGCTGTTATGTTTGTGTTCCACAGAAAAATAATTAAATAAGCTACTAAACGAAAAGTTCTAAGAATAATAACAGAATAATAAAACTGCAGTTAAAAGGTGTATGTGTTACATGTACCCTCTAATGTCATTTACCCTTTTGATAAAGTAATTGCTTTTTAAAGCATTTTATTATAGATTCTCCTAGTTCACTCATTGATCATTATCTGATTAGACAGCCTCTTCTGTTTGCACATCAATACCTGAGAAGACTGATGTAGTCTCAGCATTATTTAGCATGTCTGAAGAATACACTTTTTTGTTTGGCTGTTCACAATATCTTTTAAATGTGACCTATATGCGACATTAGTCTGAACAGATCACGCTCCTCCACCGACCCGCATGAGCAAATGAACAATGCTTCACGTTGCTTCACGTGGCTCATCCAGAGGTAAACAATCCTGACTATTAACGAACGCCAGTCGCTCGCTAAGGTTTCAGTTTCATCTTCGCCAGCATAGCAGAAGCGATCAAGAAGTTCCGATGGCTGACAGCTGGGCTCATCACCCAGAATGTGTTCGAGCTCGCAGTAAAAAGGGCTCGGTCACTTCTTTGATTCGCGTCCTCTGATTCTTTAAACTTTGCTTTCAGACTTTTAACCGTTCATTGACGCTGCAGCCTCGCTCAGCCATTTCTGTTCAAATCTGTTTGAACACGGAGCGGCTGCGATAAGTCTCTTCTAATTTTTTAGTACAGAAACATTAGCCTAAATGTTCATGAGGTCGAATGTCGAGTTGGACTGATGTAAAAGTCGCATGAATTCCGATCTGGCTGTTCAGACTGAGTCGCTTTGCCGCAGATCGAATACGTATCGGATTTCAGTACCACATGTGAAAGCGTCTCAAATTGGAATTGAAAATGTCAGATTCAATGCGTTTTTTGCTGTTCACGCTGCCACACAGACAACACATTTGTGTCACAAAGAAAAAAGGATTTGGGTCGCTTTTACCCGCTGTGTGAATGTAGCCTAGTGACACGATGTACCACACAACCATGCAGACCTTCTACAAAAACTACAAACTAACTACAAAAATAATACATTTTATTAAAATAGCACCTTTCATTCATTAAATACAGTTCAAAGTGCTTTACAAAGTAAGAAAGAAATGAAAAAAAAACCCTAATAAAAGCATTGAACAAGGACAAAGAACAAACATAATTTATAAAATAAATAAAATATTAATAGTAGTAATGTGATAATGAGTGATGTGATAATGATGAGTTAAACAAGTAATTGTCACTCTTAAAAAGATGGTTATTCAAAGGTTCTTTAGCAAAAACAATGGTTCTACACAGAACCATGAGCACTCAAAGAACCATTTGCATGCTTAAAGCGTTCTTTGCATGGTGAAATGGTTCGCTAAACTGATGGAAAATGTGTTGTATATAGTTCTGTTCAGCACTAAAAAGGGTTCTTCTATTGTTACAAGCATGTATCAATAGAATATCCCTTTTTGGTGCTATATAGAACCATTTTCAAAAATATTCGATAAAGAACCATATACAACACATTTTCAATCAATCTAATTATTAATCATTTCACCATGCAAAGAATCATTTTCTTTGAGTGTCTATGGTTCTATATAGAACCATTGTTTTTACTAAAGAATATCTGAAGAACCATCTTTGATAGTGTAGTTCAGCAAATATTAAGAAAATAATCAGATAATAAGAGAAGAAATTATACCGTATATGACATCTGCCATCTCTGGCCAGCGAATATGTCCTGAGTTATGTTTTTAGTCATCTTACACAGATGTTCAAGGGTAGTGAATGTTGAAGAGTATTGCTTATTGAGGTAATGTATGCTGGGATTGATTTTTCAAAATTCCTACATAATTAAATGTTTGAGATGTAACAAAGTCATTTAAAGTGGTTTGATGTGAAATGCTCTATTCAAGAGAAACTTAGAGTCAGAATTGTTCAAAGTGGTGGTGATAGTAACTAGACACCTGGAGCATTTCATGCCTTAAAAGCTCACTTACACAAAGTTATTACATGAAATACTTATGAATATGCCGCTTGATGCCTGAGACATGGTTTTGTCTCTATTTTGTATCTATTGTTTGTCTTTATTTTTTAATATCCATTGATAGGGGAGAGGGCAATGTAAAGCAAAATAGTACCCAAGGAAAACATCTTTTAGAGTTGCCACTATTTTATCATTATCAGCATTATAAAAACTCGGAAGACGTGTACATTAATTGGTAATTTTGGATAGTAAAAAAAATGGCAATATTTGCATTGTAGATGTTGAGACGCCCAGTTCCTATCACTATCACACTACCACTATAAAGAAAATCAGCTAGTAAGATGTACAATGCATCAAATCAGCCTTAATGACTTACTTTACATGTCTTCTTGTAACATCCTTGTTTACATTAAATTGTACAGAAATAAAAAAGTGCAGCTCCTCTTTAAGAACTGAGAACTGATTGATTGAGCAGTACTTTTAATAGATTTATTGCATTCACATTAAATGTGCATTTAATGAAAAAAAAAGTTATAAGAGATTAATGTGTAGGACAGGCTCATAGAAGAACAAAGAACATATACAAGTATGCAGTGATAGGCCTAATATTATTAATATCATGTCTTTATTTACCATTTTTCACTGCTGAAATCAAATTTTCTCTTTTTTACATGCATAAAAAGTATTA